AGAGGACAAAAACCACACAGCTATCTGATTCTTGAAGAATGTGCCTCTTTTCTTTAGAATTCTCTTTACTCTTTAGTAGCCAATCCCCTCTACTAATTAATGATTCTTTATAAGTTTTACATATTAAGATTAGCGTGTGGTGCCTGATTTCCACCTGGACCCTGGCAGATATGGATTCTATGAGTGTAAGAACAAATCTAATGAAGAAGGAGACTTGATAGAGCCAAATTCTTTCACATGGGATTTGGGATTTGAGGTGTTGGCTCAAGCACTTGGGAATGTCATTCCTAATCTGCTAGGGTAGTAAATTAATATCTGGAGTCAATGCTGGGACTTCTCTTGCATTCTGGAGAGAGAGAGTTCCAAGCTTGAAAAGATGGAATGAATGGAACAGTTGACTGCCTACAGATTCCTGCATCTGCATCTGCAACTCACCACAGCCTCTAGCGGGGGATTAAGAAATACATGGAGAAGGAGAGCTCTGTGGCTGGGTGACAGGCATGGCCCCAACCTTGGAAACCAGCAAGGGAAGATGGGGGATTAAGAAAGACACAAAAACATTTACAGGGAGAAATCTGGGACCTGGTGGGACACCATCCTCTGATGGAGGAACAGTGACCCAGAGCTATTACCACACGTTTCTTAGGTAGGTTTTATCATCAAAATGTTATTTGTGGGAAAGTTTCTGCAAAGCAGATGGACTTGAAGGTCATGGCACTTGTGAGACATTGCGGTTATCTTATCATGCCCAGAATTCTCTATCTCCAGCAGCTGGTGCCTGAGTTCAAGGTCCAGACTGAGATAGCTCCGTGCCTTTGCACAGAGCCTTCTCAGGCCAGGCGTCACTATAGCAACTGGGCAATCTTGACCTGCATCTTTGCACAGGAAATACAGCCATGAGGCAGAGACTCCACAAATGGTGACTCACCTCTGAGGCAGAAGATGCTTATGGGAAATGATGTAATGGGGTTGGGTTCACTGATCTCAGTGGGGGAGAAAAAGAAGAGATCTTGGAGTGGCCAAGCAGTGACACTAACCATTCAGAGACAAGGTGCCCTGATGCACAGAGTGAAAAGGCCATCAGAGTGGATTCACAGGCAGGGGTCTAAGGTGAAGCTAAATGGCTTTTTCTGTCAACAAAGGTGATACTTGATAAGTTGGAAATTTTCTTGCTGTCATGTGGAGAAATCTAACATGAGTCACCACAATGACCTCTTAGTCTCCAGACTTAGTCTCCAGACTCCTATGAGTGAAAAGAGGCTGAGTCTGTTTGAGAAGGACCCTGAAATGAGGCGAAGGGTGTCAATAGTGAAACATCCCCCACACAGAAGGACCTGGGGCCATTTGACTGGGAGAGTAGGACACTGATCAAATGGAGGGTCCAAGGAATTATTTGTAAAAATGGATGCACCATGAACCATGCCAGGGTATAGATCAACCCATTCTCTGTGATTCAGGTTGTCTCAGAATGTACAATTTTATAGGTAACTTGGAAAATCCCCTATGAGTCTTCCTGATTCATGCAGCGAGAGCCACTATGGTAGAAAAAGCCAAAGGCACTGCCACCATCATCTCTGCCAAAACAATAAATTAGAAAAACAATGCATCCCAGGGGGAATGCCTGAGACTTATGGCAACATTAAAGCATTTAGCATGCCTATTTGGTCACTGCAAAAGGATCAGGAGGGTGATGACAGGTTGGGGCACATGAAGGTAGCAATGGTAGCTGCAGCAGCAGGTCTGGCTGTGGCTCCTTAAAGATCTACCAGTGGGACTTTTCTGCATTTGTTGGCAGAGATAATCAGAAGGATTTCCATTCATATTTCAGGTACAAGCACTCACCCTAACTTTGTGGCCTTGTGATTTTATTAGCTCTTGTATTCTCTCTCATAGTCCAAAGGGACCTTGATCCCCTGCTTTTTTATGTTTTATACTAATTTACTTCATTCATAACATGTTAATTTCATTGGACACAGTGAACAAGACACAAATGAGCCACAGGGCAGGAGATAAACTGCAAATATCCAGCCTCTCCTTCCTTCTACTGGTGCAATTCCTATAGGTCTGGGACATGTCCCAATGTAGCTTCCAACCTGGGAGATAATTTGCTACTCCTGGTGCTGCTGCCATGAAAAAAGACACACATCCCTTACATTTTGGGGAGGGGGTAGAAGACATAAAGCACATTTTGATATAGTCCTCTTACACGTTTGTCAGAGGACACTTAAGACTGCCAGTTTTGATGACTTTGCAGAAGGTCCCGGCTGGAAACCCAGCTGCTTTGAACCTCAGGGCATGTGACCAACAAACTCAATGTTATTAAAAGTTTCTAGGACATTATGAGAAAATGGGATAATCACAATGCAGAACCTCAAAGTTCTGGATCAAAGACATGTTTCCTTCTGCAGACCATAAGACACGAAGGGCATGGTGACTTGAACTGAATGTCATGTCCCATGTCCCAAGTGCTGTCTGTGCTATTAAATCTTGACATTAGGTTGCACAGAAGCATCCTTCGTCCATTGAAAAGGTGTTATGGGATCAGGTTCAAGCAGGTCTAAGGGCAAGGTGAATGCCTTGCATGTGGCTCAAACTTCCATGGCACCTGCTCCTTCTGCCTCTACCTCCACCGCATCTATGGGCTCACGGGAGTCCTCTGTGACATCCTTACAGAGTAAGGAAAGTGAATACCAGGATAATGCATGGATGGTCACGGTGAGCCAACACCAGGCAGACGCCGACGGTGCTGCCTTCACTCCCCATTCAGAGGTGGCCCTGAGGGAGGGGTGCACTTAGTAGAGGGAAAGAAAGCCTTAGCTCCATTCCTGCATAGATCCAGGTTGAGCCACATGGTCAAGGACTTGAAAATAATAGAAATATAAAATGGGGACAGGGAGCCATGTGAATGGTCCTCTGGGATGTGCGCAGAGTATGTGCTATCCATGCTGCGTACATTCACCCACTAAAGTCCATTTACTGAGCAGGAGTAACTTAGTGTTGAGTGGTCAGTGTCAGCGCTTGCTCAATAGGTCCATGTGCATGCAAATGACCATGTGGGCAGGGATGAATCCATACGTGGTTATGACAAATGGGCCAACTCTCCTCAAGGCTGACCTGGCGGCTGACTGTCCCTGGTGCCCAGTCCAGCATAGACAGAGGCCAAGGTCAAGACCCTGTTATAGCATTATTCTACAGCAGGACTTTGTGGTCTCTGGAGGTAGGCTGATCACACAGGACATACCATCATTAAGACGACTGTGTTTTATCTCACAGGAATGGACACATACAGTGGGTTCTAGTTTTCTCTCTCTGTATCTTACTCAGTGCTTCTACAGACACTGCCATTTAGGGACTTAGAGAATTCTGGTGTCCCGTGCAGTATTACTCTGACTAGAGGATGTATCTTAAGGCAAAGGAGGTGAGGTAAAGTCACATCCTGGAACTCTCTGACTTTCCCAGTCACCCCACTATGCAGCAAAAGTTGGCTTATTAGAATCTTGGAATGGCCTATGCATGGCTTATTAAGACACCAAGTAAGGATCATAGCCAGAAATCCAACAGGAAATGTTGCACATGTTAAACTAATGGCCAGCATACTGTCTCTCTTCCTCCATGGCCAAATACACAGGTCCAAGACATAAGGGAAGGAAAAAGGGAGCGTCCCTCCCACTATTGGATCTAAAAACCTACTGAAAGAATTTTGCTTCTTGTCCCTGTGACCCTGGCCTGATGTGGTCAAAGAATCACCTAGTTCTAATCAATAGGAAGCCATGAGCGTTCCAGGCCATGTGTGCTCCTCCTCTGCTGAATCAACTAGCAAATCGGGGTGCTCTGCCGGTCGGGGTGACAAAGCTGATTACCAGAAGGAGGTTGAGTTGATGGGCCAAGGAGATTGTCTGGAAGGCAGGCAAGACATTGGGGGAATATTTCTTTGACCAGGGTCAGATTCCATGGAAAAGGATAGAAACTCAGTAAAGACAGAACCATTCAAGACTCACTCCCCATAGGAATAAAGACTGTCCAAACAAGGTGTTGGTAGGAGGTAAGGGAATGTGGAGTGAGAGGTGGAAGAAGGAAGCTCTTATTGCCACCAGCTACACACTCAGGACCTTAACAGCTATTTTATGTTATCTCCTTCCCCATCGCTCTCTCACCATGGTCTAACAGTAGAAAGATGACTTCACTATCATTATCATACAGTGTTACCATGACTCATGGGAATTGTGTGTCTTCTCGTATGGAGGACTCCAACTTTCATCTGGAGAAGGGAAAAGGGTGGATGTTGAGGGAGAAGGTTGTGGACTGTGATGGACACGTTGTTTCCTCCCCTTCTTTCTCAGATCTATGCATCCATGGGATCTCCTGCCTTAAGGCTTCCAGCTGACTTCAACCAATGGGGAACCCCAACTAGAGACCAGAGGGAGGACACTAGGTGAGGTTCAAATAATAATTCCCCAGTTCCATCCCTATAGTAACACTGGGCTAGAGAGCCCACCCTCCCCCGTACCTCTTTCTTTCCAGCCATGGCTCCTATTCACCCTTTCAGGCCTAGGATGGTAACAAAGACCCAATGGTAACAACCCCGGGGAACTAAAACCCTTTTGATGTCAACTCCTCTTATCCTCTATGTCAATTATCCCATTACCAACTTCTCCAATGGGTGAGCACTGGGACCACGGCTGACAAGGAAGAAGTGTCAATGGCTCGAGTGCTCCTTCCCCCCTTAAGCCATGTTGATGCCCTAATACTTAGGCTCTGCGACATCCTGAAGGCTCTGCTAACACCCAAGTTGGAATGAAGATATGAACCAGAACAAAGAAGTTTGTGCTTGGATGGTGATTCCTCCCCCATATCCTTCCCTGTCCCAAATCCTTCCCTGTCCCAAATCCTTCCCTCCCCTTACATACAGAAATACCAGTATTAGGAGAAAGGACAGGGTGTCTTTATTATAAGATGCATGTGGCCAAGTACTTGCATGTCCCCTCTCCTACAGGGTAAGTTCAGCTGCTCCCTGCCCCACCCACCATGATATTACCGAGTGACAGAGTGAGGATGGGAAAATAATTCAGTGACCAAGGCCATTAGATTGTGAGGTCAATTGTTGGGTTTAGGTGACAGGAAAGGTTAAGAATCATGGGGAGATGGATTTAGCAGAGAGGGTAAAGTCCCCCATTCCAAAGGGCTAGGAATAGCCCCATCCCCATCACCCAGAGCAGGTATGTGGCCCGGGCTACTCCACTTGGGGATATACGGGTTTGCTCCTTGTTATCATCTTCAAAGTTCTCACGTACAGAGAAGATCCCAACATTCTGTGTGTGGTTCAGCAAGTATTTGGAAGCTGGGGCCATGCAACCTTGAATGCTCAGTGTGGCGGTCAACCCACCTGGAGGGTAAAGACCCAGTCAGGAGATACACAATGCACCACATGTAAAGTCCCAGGAGTCCAGGCCCCAGCCCTCCTCCCTCAGACTCAGGGGTCTGAGTCTTCATTCCTTTTATCTTTGGAACTCAGCATTCAGTACTCACCTCCGTTGACAGCAATGTTACCATCATAACAATGAGTGACACCACTAGGGCAGGTAACTAAGTCGGAGCTTTGTGAGCAGGATCCAAGAAACTGGACACAGGCAGGACACTGCAGGCCTCCTGGGGCAGGAGCAGCTGGGGAGCAGAGACAAGTTTGCGCAGGCACAGCTCTGCTCCCACCTGCAGCCACCTGCTGGAGCCTGGAGTATCCGGGTCACTCAAGGATGCCATACCTGGCTTAGGAAGGGAGGTCAGCAGGACACTGCTGCTGCCGGCATTGTTGCACAGGTCAGAGGAGCAGACCCGGACATAGGAGGCAACCAGCACTCCAGGCGGCCGGGAGTGTAAGGAGACAGCCTGAGCGTTCTGTGCCCCAGCCTTGCTGCAGCCTTTGCTCCCCATTAGGAGAGATCTGTGTCCTGAGGAGGTAAGAGAGTGAGAGCTGGGCTGGGGAGAGGACGGGCAGCAACTCTGGCTTCACGGTGCTCCCCAGAAAGAGGGTGAACACAATCCTGGGTTATCCTAGTACAGGTCATCCGAGTGTCCAGCAAAGACTGGGGCCAGAAACTGGGTTCTCCCTCATGTTCTGCCACCTCCCAGGTATTGTTCAAATGTCACCTTCTCCATAAAGCCTGCCCTGAGCACCTGTAATTGCAACCTTCGCCTCACTTTCCGTATCTCCTTTCTTCCTGCTGGGTTTCTCTCCAGGGCTCTTGTCTTCAGACCCATAATTTGCTCTTTTTTGTCTGTTTTTCTTTTCATTTCCCCACTAGGGTATAAAACTGCAATCAAGGCAGTTGCGATCAATGGCTCAGCAGTACCTAACACAGGTGCTCAATATAAAATTTTTCCAATGAATGGAGTCATTGAGGTGCCTCTGTGCCAGCGCTGTGCTCGGTCCTCTGCATGGAGGGCACCGGATCCTCATGGCTACCCAGCAAGGTAGGCACTCTACTTATCATTACTTGGCCCCTAGTTTTCATCAGGGGAAACCAAGAGCAGAGTGCTGGACTGAGATCTCTAGATGTGAGCAGAAGTGGGCAGGACATTCAGGGGACGGAGTGCAAGGTGGGCAGGCACTGGCCATCGTGCAGGGACTTGGCCCTGTCTTGCTCAGCCCACGCACCTACGTCTATGAGCATCAGTGTCTCCTGACACACCTCCTCAGGATCACACATCTGGTTCCTGGATGAGGTCCATTCAACAGGGTCTTGAGCCAACTTTCTCCCCATCTGCAGCATGACCCCCCGGTTACAGGTCAGAGTATCTGGGGACAGAAAATCACCAGGGTTTGCATGAGCCAGGGAACCCGCCCTGTCCGTTCCTCCAGGTCTCATATTCTGAAAGGTGATCCTATTTGGAATCACACTATGGCTGACCTGGATATGGAATCCCTCAATTTCAGGCTTAGAATGCACCTGGAAATCTAAGCCTCCCCATTACCTGGGGGACACCTGTAGGAACCCTCCTCTTGTGACCCTTGGAGGAAGGTGTCTCTTCTCCTTTGGATGTGAATGCTATAGATGGCTGGTTCTTACCCTCAGCCTCTCTCTACTTCCCTGACTAGGCTTCAAAGTCCTCATTTGGATAATGAGGAAAGTAGCTTGAGACCATATTTTTCTTTTTCTTTTTCTTTCTTTTTTTTTTTTTTTAAATACTGGGGATTAAACTCAGGGGTGCTTTACCACTGAGCTACATTCCCAGTCCTTTAAATTTTTTAAATTTTGAGTCAGAGTCTCCCTAAATTGCCAAGGTTGACCTTGAATTTGCAATCTTCCTGCCTCAGCCTCCTAAATCACTGGGATTATAAGTGTGTGCCAATGCAAAAAAAGAAAAAAAATTGGTACTGTGCCTAGAACCCAGGGCCTTATGCATGCTAGGCAAGTACTCTCTGAGCTACACCCCCTTTTAACTGAGAAATCCTATGTTCCAATCAAAAACATCCAAATGCCTAGTGTGAACTGAGCCCTTGCTTAGTGCCTGGCCGCTATCATTGCTTTCTATGAATTAACTCATTTCATCTTCACCTTTGGCTTGATTGTCTCCTTTCTTCACTGCAACCCCCAAAGTCAGTGACATTATCATCATCATCATCATCACCTCTGTTTTCAAGACAGGAAAAGAGGCCGGAGATTTAGTGAATGTCTCACCCGTTGTCACATAGCCAGTAAGCGGCAGAGCTGGGCTAGGACCTCAGGCTTTCTGGTTCCTTATGGTCAGGGTTGGAGTGGGTGATGGGGACGACAGGTACCTATCTTGACTTCAGTGGCCCCCAGGAGTCTAGTTTGACAACTATGAGCTTGGGCCCTATCATCAGCTCATTCGTGATCAGCAATGTCTCAGGACACAGAAGCTCACGGTCCTCGGGCTCAGCAGGTGCGAACACGTGTAACCTTCACAACTGTCCCGTGATGGAGAGCTGTCCGTTTCCCCATTTCACAGGTGACAAAATTGCAAGTCCGGCTCCCCGCTTCCTCCAAGTCATATCCTCATTCTCTCTGCTCCCCTCCCCAACAAAGTTCCCCATCTCGGTCAATGGCAGTTTGCTTTCCTCTAATTGCTTAAGCTGAAACCTTGCGGTCATTCTCGGTCATTCTTTGTCTCACACCCCATGTTGCATCCGTAAGGAAATCCTGCAGATGTCTCCAGAACCTGACCACCTCTGCTGTGTCCAGCCAGGCCCATGACCCCAGGACTCTCCTGCCTCCTCATGGGCCGCCATGTGCACCACCTCTACTCCCCCACCCTGTTCTCTACCTGACAGCCAGAGGGATCTCATTAAAGGAAAGTCAACCATGTCCCTCTTCTGCACAGAAGACTCCAGTAGCTCCCTTTCCCACTCAGAATTCTGAGTCCTGAAAATGACCCTTGAGGCCCTACCTGACCTGGCCTCGCCCTCCCTCTCCATTCACATGGCTGCTCTCCTCTCCATCACCGTCCCACTCACACGGTCCTCTAGGCCCGGGGACAACAAAATGTCAGGGAGCAAATGGAAAGGAGGAGAGCATTTTAGGGACTTTTGACACTCAAATGGTCCTCAAAAACGGGTTCACTGGCAGAGGCGGGACTGGAACCCACATCTCTCTGAATCAGACATTAGGCTCTTAACCTTCTCTCCCTGGGACCACTGCCCAGTTCCTTAGGAGGGCAGACAAGGGCTGACATGGTCCAAGCTCCTGGATTTACCTTCAAAACATGCTGCTGCCATGGCCCATATTGGGCAATCTGTACTCTGGCCCCCCCACCCTGTCTCACCCCTGTGCCTCTGCATGGACTGTTCTGTCACCCTGAAATGTCCTTCTCCTTTCACTTTTTCCTTGACATCTTGTACATCTAGCTTCTGACACCTGATGTGGCGGATGCTCAATAAATATTTGCTAAATGGAATTGAAATTAACCACGGAAGAAAAGCATCCTCCAAGATTTTACTCCAGTGTTGAAAGCTGGCAGAATATGGGTGTCTATGAAGAATATTTATTTGTAGCATTACAGCTCCATCTTACCCGGCACATGGCTTGTGGTTTGTGTATACACTCGCGTGAGTACCCCGTGTGGGCTGTGAGGGGTGCTTGCGTGGCAGGGGGATGTACTGATGCACTGGGCATGTGACATACTCTGTAGTAATTGTTCGGTTTGCATGCTTGGCATGCTGTGTGTTCCGTGTCTCTCTGCTTTGGGGGTCGAGGGTCTATGTGTTGCTAAATACCTTCTAGATTATGAATGTGACTTAGTCCCAGAGACGAGGACCAGACCATTAAAACCAACCTTAATCCAAAGGAAAGAAAGCTGGCTCAGACTCTGTCCCTTCTTCCTGGACAGCCTTCCATAGCTCCCCACTCTCCAGAGAGTCCCCCACCTCAAGCCTGGCTCTCCAAGTGCTTGATCAACCCTCTACCTCCTACCTCCCAGCTTCCTACCAGTATCCATTCCCACCTGACCCCTGGGATTAACCCTTGCTGGCCCCTTCTGCTTGTGATAGCTCTCTCTCATCCTCTACACCATCTCGTCTGCACCCCATCCTCCTGTTGAGTCCCTCTCAGGCACAGGTGAGGAAACCTTCTTGAAGGAAGTAGCTGCCTCCTGGATCCACCTGCAGGTCCCTGTCAATAGCTTTTCCTCTTCTCCTGAGAAACTGCAGCTCATCGTTAAGACACAGCTCAGCTTGAAAGTCACCTCTTTGGGGAAGCCCTCTTTGATACCACCACCAAGAGGACATTCTTATCTTCCTCTCCTCATGTTCTCCTCTGCCCCAGCTCTGATCAACCCAAGTGAGGTGTACTGCCACCCATGTCCAGAAGCCTTCTAGGCAGGTCTAGAGTCTGGCTCATCTCAGGATACCACAGGAAACCATGGAATCCTTTGTGACCTCATTTCAGCATATAGATCCCGAGCTCCTGCCCTGAGCCAGCTCTTATGCCGAGCCAAGCTGGAAATCTTGGTGTCAGTGACAACCAGCCCGTGTCCACAAGGCTCCCAGACTTGTCAGAGAGACTGATTGAAACACAGAGCAAAGTTCTCCGGACGCACTCAGCTCTCTCCTTGAAGATCTAAGGGTTCAGTGACCTGGGGAGGTGACAGGGACCACCATGCACCCAGGGAAGCCAGACTCCCGTCCCACCTCCTGTCCCCACCACGGCTTCCTTTTGCCCTGTT